CCCCCCCCCCCCCCGAAAACAGACTACCCCCCGGACACAACACTAAGAGAGGAGAACAAGATACACATTCGCGAACAACCCCAGGGGAAATCCTCGGTATGGCAGGGAGCGGGTTATCGGTAACGGTTCACCTTCGGAGAGCGCTGCTACGATGTTCTTTCCCCCCGCAACCCCTACATACTCGGGGGTACCACCAGACAGCGTCAGGCGCTCCACCTCTCCCCCCTTTTACTCCTCGTGACCGTCGTCTGCAGGTACAAACGCCGGCAATAACGGCGGCGGCAGCGGCAGCAACAACGTCGACCCCAACACAACGAACAGAGGCACCGCCGACGGGACCAAAGACAACCGCAAACACCCCCCACCTCCTAGGAATACGAAGCGCACCACCACCAGCGCCACCAACGCCGCCGTCGTCGTCGGTCATCACCACCGGTTCTTCTCCCAGCTCGAAGTCCTCTGCCAGCCGCTGCATCTCTTCCTCTGCGACGCTCGCAACGGCAACAGCAACAACGGAGGAGTAGGAAGCAGTGGCATGAGAGACCGCTACTCCGACGCCGCTATCGGCTCGGGGACGGTCGTCAACCGAACGGGGGGGGCAGGAGGAGGGGGCTCCGCGACATCGAAGGCGGGATCGGGGTCGGGGGGTCGGCCGCGAGGCGCGGCAAAGGGAACGGCAGGCGGTGGCGGAGGCAGTGGAGGAGGGCGAGCTGCGTCGGGGACAGGAAGGGGGCCCACAGGTGGGCATGGCACCGGGGGGGGGGGCTCGAGGAACGGCGGCGCTCGGGCGCGGTGGTGCGAGGTCCGACGATTTTTAGAGGTGGGGTCCCCATCCCGTGGAGGCTTGGCAGGCAACCAGACAACAAGACGACGTGTTTATCCATCGGTGAAGAATGTTTCGCTATCGTCGGCTGCCTTTTCTAGGGACTGGACATGTGCTGTGAACAGCTACACGCATGTTTTACAGGGCACATGCTCCATGCCGGCCTCTCATCGTGTTCCAATGCCTGTATTGGTCATAAGCCTTTCTCAAAAGACAGGTGGCGGCCACATAAAACCTCCACATAACCTACGTGTCGCCATCGCGTTCACGCCATTTCGCGGTTGTTTCCGTTGCGTTGTCCCTTTTCACACACGCTGCTAATGAGGATGTCGACAGGCGATCAGGGCGTGCCGGAACGTTCCGTGGAATAGCCGCGACATTCCAAATTCCCTCCCCTGGCGGTAATAACGTCCCCACCTTGGACGTTGCGGATGTTTACTACATACTTCGTTCTCCGTTTTGCCACGAATCTCACAATTGCCCCGCGTTCCTTCACCCCCTCTTGCCAAACGACGACGACCCCACCAACACCACCACTAACTGACAACGACCACAACAACCGCGGAAGGCCCTGTGCCGGGCCGCCGAGGTCGACGACGAGTGCACCGGAGCCGCCTTGGCCGTGCTAGAGCGAGAGGGCCGCTTCTGCGCTTCTTCGTCGTCCCCCGCTTCGGCTCCGGCTCCGGCACCCTCCTCGCACCACGCCGTGATGATGGCAACAGCAGCCCCGATATCGGAGGGGTGGGGGAGGGGAGGGTTTTGGCGGAGCCCCCCCTCCGAGGTTGACGTTGACTTCCGGCAGTTTACGGCTGCGGTTCGGGCGATTCTTCTCTTCGAAGGTACGGACGGACCATTTTCATATAGGCCCGTAGAGGAATCGGCGTCGTGTGTGATGCGCAATCTTTCACCAACCACAATAACCCTCGCTACAACTACTCAATCAAGTGTATTAACCTTTTTTCATTGGTATACACCGATGGGGCGCTTGAAAACCCAAACAAGTTTGGATCCCCGCCCCCCACAAAAGATTCCAGTCTTTGAAACAGAAGTTTCGACATAATCTATGAATCAGAATATGATATGCCCACCCTTGCCGAGAATACGGGAATCAGCACGGAAGAGACCCGCCCCGGTCTGCCCTTCCGTGAGACCTTTGGGAATTTCCATGTCTTTGTATACCGCATGCGCGAGGGGTGACCAACATATTTTTCCTTCTACCCCCGCCCCCAAAGCACGCCCAATTACCCTCCATTCAACCGGAACACCAATAGCCTACTTCTCAACACTATTTTTTCCCGCCGGCTTACGATCGAAGAGACATTCAACCCGCCCTCTGCTCGTCTACATACGCATGCGAACGCCAAATATAATCTTCCCGGCATGCTTTGAACAAAATGCCACGGTATGCCGTACCGCTGAAGGTTTCTACCGTGAGGCTCGGCAGGCGTTTGTGGAGGTGGCGGGAAGGGTGGACGGCACCGTTTCCCTCGACAAGCTTCTGGCCCGCTTGTTCCCGCTACATCGAAGTGGAACTCGCAGCGGGGCCAGGTCAGTTGCAAGCAAGACTGTCTGCCAAGAGTCCCGAAAAGTTTAAGAAAAGGGAGGGGGCAGACTTGTACCGAAAAGGATGCCTGACGCAACAACAACATCAACAACATCAACAACATTAACACCAATACAAACAAATCCACGACTTCATCAAGCGCGGGATTCATACGACATTGATCAAGCGCGGGGTTCATGTTGATCAGCAGTGCCAGATGCCCACTTGATCATATGCGCACGCAGTAGCCGCGGGCAAAACGACGATGAGGGTGGTGATAGCGCAACAGGCTGGCGTGGAGGAGCGGTTCGCGAGACCATACGCTCGAGGCTCGACGTCGGCAGGAAAGGGGAGACCAAGGTGACCTGATGTCGCTACGTTTTTGTGATTCGAAACAGCTCCGTTGAATGTACTGCGGAATTTGCGTGCCAAAACGGTCCGATGCCGTTAAATCTCTGTACAGAAGCGGTCCCTGTCCAAATCAGCATGGTCCCCGTACAAGGCCTTCGTACGTCCGATTGCTCCCCGTGGAGGGTCGATGAACACGCGTGACACGGATAGATGCAGTATTCAAGCTGTCCCACGCTCTGAATAGTACCGGATGCCCAGCATATGGCCGACCAGACCCCCTTGGCGCTGTGTACACGGCCTTGTGCGAGGGCCATCGCTGCATATACGAACCGCAGGAGGGGGTCCAACCCTCCCCCTCCTGTGACCCCGGTTGAGTCGTCTAGCTGGTAGAAGTGGAGGATAGGGGCCAGAGGGGCAGACGACAGAGTCCAATGATGGGAGAAAAAAAAACAAAAAACGTACGTGGTAGCGAGTGGGTTCACTCTCGGCGAGCGTGCCGGGTTATCTGTGAAATTAATCGAGGAGGCAGACTGGTATACATTGGGCAAGAGGTGCCCGGAATTGCTGCGAGCGTCGTTTCACTTCTATTACGGCTCGCCGCTCTCTTTTCAAGTTTCCATGGAACAGGAACCAAGGCGTGGGCCGATCCCAAGACACAAGGGGCGGATCACATGCATTGATTAATTGTCTGATACCAATGGCCGTTTGACGGCATCATCAGCTGCAATCACGTGATGACGCATCATTATTGTTGCGAGGAGCGAAAGACGAAGGGGAAATAGCGTTAGGACCTTGCAGGCGCATGACCGGTCAGGGTCCGTTGCTGTTTCTTTCCCGTTCATCGCCACCAATTCGGCGAAGCGAAATCGCCGAGAGCTCACTACCTACCATCATCTTGGCTTGTGCGCACGTATAAATCGTTCCGGCTCAAACGATGCAGGTCCGGCTTAGCACACTCACAGACTGCGTGCTCTCTTCCTCGTTTCATCCGCTGTAAACGGCATCCATCACCGACGGTGGGTAATTGCAACGCGAAGACTTCCGGAACGAGAGGAGGAGCAAACGTTCCGGAACCCAATGTTCACAAGACATGTTCAGGCTCAAATAAACGGCAAAGTGAAAGCTAAATTATCTTGTAGTAGGTACCGTGGTTTGAAATTCGGCTTAGCAACCTTTCATCGCACCAAACAGGCGATAAGTGGTCTGGTTGTATCGCGTTTCTCGGCTGGTGCGATCGGCGCAAAACCTTCGCAGACCCCTGGCAGGGGAACGTGTACACAGGTAGACGGAGAGCATGGACAACGACACCGACGATGGATCAGTAGGGCAGGTTGGCGTTTTCCAGTGGCCGTCTCCCAGTTAGGCCGACACGCGGAGCGAGGCGGGAACTGCTTTGAGGCGGCCGCAATCACCTTTCCGATTCGGAACCTACACGTCGCCGGCATACGTGATTGGCCGCAGCCACACAAGCACAATGTTGCTGCTACTTGCTTTCCGACACAACCGGTTCATACGCCGCGTGTTTCATCTGTCATCGTCAAAGAGAACTTGCTGTGAGGGTCGCTTGATTCCCCGTTTGAGTCGCCACCGGGAAACCCGCAAAACCAAATGATCACCATTCACGTGCTCACCTACAGCAGAGGCAACTCCACCCCCTTCCTTCACCTTTGTCACGGACAGCCTTGTCGTGAAGCAACGATTCACTCTCACTCGTCGCAATCAACACCGTAAGGTTGGGAGTCAGCTAGAGCACAGGGGTGCGATCGATTTTCAAAGCGTACTTCCTCCACGACCAGGAGGGTGCGAGTGCCAACTGATACTTCTCACGAAAGCTCTCGATGAGACACTTTCAAAACGGCCCATTTGGACAGTGGTACTGTAGCCTCCTGGTTGTGGATAAATGACGCTTTGAAAATAGGTCGCACCCCTGTGCGCTGACTCCCAACCTAATGAGGTTGTCCCTCCCTGCCCCCCCACCGCCGTCGCCGTGCCCGAACACGTGACACGCCGGAAAGCAGTGCCAAGCAAACCGCACGACATGCAGCAGGCACGCCGGGTAATCCGGAAATAGAAGGTCGCCCCAGCCCCCGCGCCCCCACCCGTGGAGTGAAAGTTTTTCCGGGAAAAAAATTGCACGTGAAAGGTTCCCCGGTATTGAGAAAACGAACTGGCACGGTAGTACCGCCGGCCCCAAGCCGTGCTTCCCTCTCGTCCTGCCGCAATGCCGCCGTAGGTACCCATGTAGCAGAGGGTCCCACGCAAGGGATAAAACGAACAGCTGATGAGAAGACTGGCACCAAAGGGCGGTCAAAAACGAAATAGCCATTTTCACTCCTCTTGACACCACACACATCGTTCAGCAGCGAACGCGAAACACAAAATCAACCGTAGTGTCAATAGAACCGGTGCGAGAACAGCATGTTTGCTCATGGCCAAAACACCCCACTCAGCAGAACCCCCTTAAAAGCAACCGCCGGCCGCACCATTACAACAAGACGCAAAAGAACGCAAGCTAAGCTGCTCAAGGCGGGTTCTCGAAGCCGTTCTCATCTAGACCTCGGAAGGTAACCTCCTCCACGTCTTCCTTCACTGTGTCCTTGGGACCCGTGAGGTTGCTCCTGGGTTTCCGCCGGACCTATTGGGCGGGGGGGGGGAGGCGTGCGTGGAGGGGTACAGGCAGGGGGGCGGGGAAGAGTGCTCAGTTGTTGATGTAGTATTGCCGCCGTGGTGGCTGGTTCCCGTACAAAGTAATGCTCTTTGGGTGCCGTAGGGATGCCTCCAGCCGCTACAGGCAGGGGAGCGGGGAAGAGCGCTCGGTTGTTCATGTAGTATTGCCGCCGTGGTGGCTGGTTCCCGTACAAAATAATGTTTCGGGGTGCCGTAGGGATGCCTACAATCGCTGCAGGCAGGGGAGCGGGGTCGTCGCCCGCTGCGCACCGTCCCGCATCGTGATACTGATACCATCCTTAAAAAGCTAGTACCGCCGTTGGACACAAGGGAGGGGGTAGGGAGCTCCGCGATGAGAAATACCAAGTGCTGAACGAATGCAATGGAGCAACAGCAGGGAAAACGAGAATCTCGTGAAGGATTGATTGGTACGGTTACCTGGGGGCAAGCTGCGTTGCCAACGCGCGCGATGGTTCATTTCAAAATTTCCGATGTCTGTTTGTAGCATTAAAAAATGCTCTTGGGGGTGCCGTAGGGATGCCTCCAACAATGCATACGATGGCAGGGGAGCGCGGAATGCCTTGTTGTACAATGTACCATTACTGCAGCGGTGGGTGGTTTCAGCACGAAAATAGTTCTTGGACGGTACCTGAGGGATGCCTCCAAACTTTTCTGCTGCGGGATACTATCAAAAAGCGAGTCTCGTGGGGGAGGGGGGGGGGGGGGGCATNGGGGGGGGGGGGGGGGGGGGGGGGGGGGGGGGGGGGGGGGGGGGGGGGGGGGGGGAGCATGTGTCAACATTGTGCACGGTATGTAGCTCAACCATCCGCCCGGTCGTGAAGAGCTGGGTGAACAAAGAAGAATAAATCACTCTAAATTTGACTGCAAACATTGTTCCTCCACTCTTGAAAACATTGTCCTCCACGCTTTGCCTCTGTATATGATCGTGGACGCCCTACCTGTGGATGGGAGGCGGATTCGTCGTGTCCCTCAAACAAAAACAGAAGGAAAACAATACTGTCCCCATTGTCACAACGAAACCAGAGAACCAGTTTCGCCGGCAGTGCCACGTTGCTCACCAAAAATATCTCTGGTCTTGAGGATAACGGCCCCGCTCTGTCTGGCCCAAACGAAACGAGACAAGTCTGGGTTGCCGGGAGGGTGTGTAGTGGTGCTCACCGAAGGATCTCTGGTCGTAAGGATACGGCCCCGCTCTGTCCACCATCATGACCTAAACGAGGGTCTAAGCGAATCCAGAGAGTTTGGATTGCCGGAATGGTGTGTAGTGTTGCTCACCGTAAGGATCTCTGGTCTCGGGATGACGGCCCCGCTCCTCTTGGCTACCCGCACCCGAGTGCCGTCCTCTAAAAACTTGTACGATACCTTCGTCGGAAACCTTGACGTTAAGTTATTCAAGCACATGTGAGGAAGGAAGCAAAAAAAGCTTGAGCACCATTCGTGAGCCAGGCTAAGAACGCTTTCACTACAACCGCTACAGCGGCCAACTTGTACTGTAGGCTGACTCTTGCTGGGTCGACCAAACCAAGGGGCGGTTATGTGAGCGCCGAGCGCGAACAGCAAGTCACCAGACGATCGCGGTCGTCCCGCGACCTCTTGTTCTTTCCCTACAACCTACGTAGCGTGGCAACCCACGACATCCGGTGCCGCCCCATGAACATGGCAAAAGAACACCTCCATCCCTTGGCCACGGAACGGGCGCGAACAGGGGAACAGAAGCATGCGCTGCAGCGCACCGTACGCGGCGGGACTACCGTACACAACATTAGACATCACACCCCCCTGAACCGATTTTCAAAGCTCGATTTATCAACAGCAGAAAACGTCGCAGCGCCGAAAACGGAGACGTTGAAGCCGTCTGGTGGAGAGATTTTCCGAAAAAGTATCGCTTCGTTGTTACATCATCTTCTTCGTGGAGTAATCGAGCTGTGACAATCGGTCCAGGGGTGTGTTTTTCTTGTGTCATGTACGCCAGGTATCGTATCACGTGCCCTGTTGTCGTGCAAAGGGGGCTACTTTGTTAAAACACCTCGTCGAGAAGACAGCAACAAACGCAAAAACAACCACACAGCAGCAGCAGCAGCAGCAGCAGCAGCAGCAGCAACGTGGCTGGTAAATACACGACAGACTGCCGTTGGACCAAGCGGTGCCCCCTGTTACCACAAACCCGAAAATTCTACTGGCATGACGCTACCAAAGAGAGACGCAAAACAGCCCACGATGCACTCGTGAAGCCTGCATCACCCAATAGAAACCAAGCTGTTTTGGCTCACAGAAACACGTACACCCTCCTCCTCGAGCACGAGAATACTCACCCCGTCTCGGGACACACGAGGTTGACGTTGGTAACGTGGATCGCCGCTTCCCGCGTAACGGTAGTGCCTCTACCCCCTCCCTCCGGCTTCTTGTTGTACTTGCGCTGCAGAAAAAAGCGGGAAGGGTTGAGCGGGGGGATGGGGTTGAGATCAGAAAACAAGCTGGCACCATGTTTGTATGGGCGGGTGGCGTATGAGTGCTTCGTGCCGTCCTCTCTACCTCCGCCCCTGCACCCACCTCTCTCTCTCTTATCTCTTTCTCTTTCTCTGCCTCTTTCACTGTCCCTATCTCTATCTCTGTCTGCTTTGGCTGCCCGGTCCTTCCGTCTCTCTGCCTGCTTGTCTGTTGCTCTCTCTCTGTCTCTTTGTCTCTTAGTCTCTCTCTGGCTGTTTGTGTGAGTGTCTCTCTTTCCCACCCCCTAGAAGAGTTCCAACCGAATGCCAAGTCTGACTCACAAAGGCTGCCACCCGTAGCGTCGCGGGCGACTCTGCTACAGCAGTAGTTCACAAGCCGAGGGCGTTCATGGCCGCCATGTCGAGCAAACCTACGGCACGAAGACAACAACTTTCGCTCTCACCATGTTGACCCCTTCAACGATGATGCGATTTTGTTTTCGGATCACGGCCTGAACGATCCCGACCTCACCGGTGTGGTGCCCGTTCACCACGTGCACCTTGTCCCCTCGCAAGATCTGGAAGCCAAACGGACATTCGCGAAGGGGATAACACAAGGTGGGGGTGTTGGTGACATATTCCCGCCTGTAAGTCAATGGGCCGCATGGGGCAGCGCTGATTACAGGGATTGCAACCCTGGGGTAAATGCCGAGGTCCAGTAGCTCAAACGAGTTGAAGGACCCCGGTTGTACCCTTGTATGCTAGAAGTCAGCGTTGAGCTCTGAGATGACTTGAAGCACAGTGGGGATGCTGTACACCTTAACAGGGGGGTGTTCAGCTGGTGTTTGGATCACTCGCGCATGGATTCGAACGCACCCTGGTGAGGCTTTGGGACGTAGCATCGTGTTCCAACTTGATGGCTTGTTGGACATGTCAGTGCTTGTCGCCAAAAAACAACAGGGGGAATAGGGTTCCCACGCGGACGGGGGGCAAAAAAATTCCCCCCCAAAAAGGGTCAAACGTGTTGCTGGAGGATTTCGAATTGCCGTATGCATACATCATATGGAGCAGGTTGGGGAGGGCGGGTTAGAAGGAGGCGACCATTGTGGCGCCATCCACGCCCGAAGCAAAGAGAGCGCCAACTACCCACCAGGAGTGGTAAAACCCCTTTCTGATTTCTGCTGTGCTGCTGCTTGTCGCGTAGGGCTTTAACAGACAGCTGGGAGGCGAAGAGAGAGACCAGCCTAGAGGCCACGAGACCCATGGAGAAAACTATGCTCGATAAGAAGTCAAGTTACCGTGTGGGAGAGAGGGTGCGTGTGTGTGTTGTTTCAGAACTGCACTACAGATGTGTACGCAGGACAAAGACGTCAACACAGGCACGAGGTTCTCCCTCGGTGCAGTTCCGCTATCCTCTATTTCCCTTTCGTCGCATGGTGCCAAAATCTCTTGCTATTGCAGCAGAAACGGGAAGTGTTAGTGGAGTTAGGATCAGCATATTGAAGCGCCGGCGTGAGAGCAAGCAGTCAGTCGGGATGCAATCCGCCGGCTTGCATGATTTTCATGCTCGAAGACTCGCAGAGCGGTGTCGTAGATTTCGTCGATGGCCGACAAGCTTACAGAAGAGGAGGTATCTAAACGCGCAGTGTCTTTAGTACTCGTGCATGGACCACGCTGCCAGCGCTCGACCCACATTATTCCTGCACCGGCCGCGTGGCGTGTGACTTCATGGCATAATATCAACCCCGGGTTAGCCCACCTGCACGACAGATATATGTGGAACTGGACGGCATTGATGTGCACTACTGCTGTGTACTAACGTCTGCGGTGGTGCTGATGCTACTGCTGCTACAGCAGTACCGCTATTGCAACAACAGCTCTAGCTCTTCTGCAAGTTACTCAAAGCAGCAGCTCTCGAGCTCTCCCAGCTGCTGTGTGCGGGCGGCGGCGGTGGCGGCTGCAAAGCTGCCAAGAGATGGCGGCGGATTCACACCCACCATGACACCATGACTTGACAGACTCATAGACTCACCGTCCACTTGTTCTTTGGGATGATGTTTTTGGGGAGCAGACCCGGCTTAAGCTTCTGGGTCGGCTTCATCAGTCGCTTCATTGCAGGTATCAAGAAGTTGGAGGAAGACGACATGGCTGCTGCGGTTTGCGGTTGTAGGCTACACACAGCAGGTGCAAACCGCGGTGATCGCGGGGGGGGGGGCTCGCAGACATGGCTGCCCAGGATGCGCCATACCTGTCTGTCTCAACCTTCCTACGCGGTGTGGGGCCCCGCTTTAGATCTCTCACTTTGAATACATAACTCTCAGCTGTTGTTGAGCAAACCAGTGACCCTCCCTCGCTCCGTGTGCGCTGCCACATCTTGACACTCCACGCGGACATTTGCAGTGCGCAGGTGAGAGGTTGAAGTTGATCGGTATCCTCTTTTGAAGCTGGCCATTAGCACGTTTTTTTGAAAATTGTGGCTATTTCGCCGCATCGCCTTGCTTTTGAATTTTTGCGCAAGGGGCGGCGTGTGCAAGCCACCCGCACACCACACACAGCAGCAGTGCCACTCACCAACGTCGCCGTCCACAAGACATGGAAGTGTTCCGAGATGGAGAAAACGACAAATTAGCTGTTCACCACGTCAGTGTATTCGAGGCGCCGAAGAACTGCTGGAAGCGCCCGAGTGTTGGTTCATGATGTGGGATACCATCCCCCATGGTCGCTGTTCTCTCGCCCGAAACATGTAGGTGTGTATTATTAATAGTATCATTCGACCGCCACTGCAAGGGTTTTCTTCCCACTCACTGCCAATGCTTCAGCATGCCCCCTTCGATTGTGGCAGTATCTCGAACGGGTAGTCCTCTTGTGGTTGCAGTCTCTCTGTGGTTGTGTGTTTTCTAGGCGAAGAGACGGAAGAGCTGGGGGGCTGTCGACGCCAATGATGAACGCAAACTCAACTCACGAAACCGTTTGTGCAGATGTCGTTGACAGGCCTTTGCGCAAAACAACCAACCGCCCCTGCGGTGTAATACGCGGAGGAGCCGGAATTGTCCGCTTCGAATCAAACAGCAGCAACAGAGATGGAAGCGCGACTTTTCGCACACATAGACACAGACATAACTCCCCCGCCCTCGCGCCTTTGGCGTGAGAGACTTCAAGAGTGTCTTGTCGAATTACTATAGCATCGACAGATGAAAAGACGTTAGTCTTACACTGGGATAAGAAACGCCAACACGCTTTCCAGTGAAAGGGTTCTACCGATACATGAGGGCGGGGGACGAAATAGTTGGACGGCAGCATTGTCCTGCTATTGAAGTAGGCGCACTGCTGTAGAGCATCAGTACCACCAGGCGGGATCGCTTCTTGCATCGGGGTATTACGCATAGTAGCATCACTACCCTGTACCTAGGTTGTTTTCTGTCCGACTTCGCTTTGCGCTCTTGAGTGCGCGAGTGTTCGTTTGTTATTAGCTTGTTTTTGTTCATGTTTTTCTATTTCCGGTCTCGGGGGATTGGGGGGGGATCAGATACATGGATACCTCGAACACAAATACTTACACAATAATAAAGCTTGTGCGCGGTGTTTCTTTTGTGGCATTTCTTTATTTATTTCATCCCAATTTTTGGATTGTTTACGTGTGGAAGACTTCGAGCACCATCCATCAACACTGTGTGTGTACCAACAAACAAAAAAACACCGGCGGCAGGAGGATCACAAGCAAACATGCCGGAGACATGCAACAAGGACGGCTACAGCAACAGCAGTAACCAAGGGCCGGGCACTCCGGAGATCGTGCGAAAGCGCAGGAACAACGTGAACCGGAACAACGCGAAATGGAACGCGATCGGGATGCCGGCGGTCAACGGCGGAGCTGCTTCAGGGGGTGCTGTCACCTCAAGCGGGTGCAGGTGAATCACTGCTGTGTGTTTCTTCCCCACGTTGCACTTGTATGTTTCTTTTTGGCTGTTCGTTGTCGTTCTTGTTGTTGGCTGTTGCTTTTATGCTGCTGCTGCTAATGCTGCTGCTGCTGCTGTTGTTGTTGTTGTTGTTGTTGTTGTTGTTGTTGTTGTTGTTGTTGTTGTTGTTGTTGTTGTCGTTGTTGCCGCTGTTGTTGTTGTGGTTGTTGTTGTTTCTTTCTTCAGATTCGCGAGAGCTGGGTGTGCAGTCCAATCATCGGTCCAAGGCACTCACCCAATCATGCCTTCTATTCCCGTGCTACTTCAACTACTGACGCTCGCCGCCGAGAGTCACGCACTGTGACCCTCAATCTTCGGTAAATACCCTCCCCTGGTCGTCACACGGACGTACCCTGATCAATTGACGTATAAGTTGCCACGTCTGCCTCTTCTTGCTGTGGTTTTCCCCACACGACCATCCGGTGAACTGAGCTTTTCGATCCGTCCCACCCCCCCCTACTGGGCAGCAGGAGCCTTCTCTCCGCCGTCGCGGGTCCGGGGGCCACGCGGAATGGCGATGCGGGAGAAAAAAGAGGGTGGGGTGGGGTGCACGGTGGCGATAACCGGGTCTTAGACGCGTTGGTTCCCCTGGCTGGCCTGGAGGAGAGGTGGCCGGGGCGAAAGCAAGAGATCTCGGAACTCGCGGGGCTCATCGGGGAGGTAGGGGGGGACTGCGGACGGGGAAAANNGGTGGTAGATAGGGGGAGGGCGGAGGGCGCGCTCATGCTCTCCGCGTCCTCGTCGAGGGAGAGAGGGAGAGGACGGAGCGTTGGTGTTCCCACAGGACCGATCACCGATGGCCAACCGTCCCTTTCTACTCTGCTTAGAGGGTGGTTCAATAAATGTTTGTCCTTTCCTATCTATGCTGTCGATATCAGGGGGAGGGGGGGGGGGATACCGCCGATCCTCGTGTTACGTTGCTCTTCTCTTCCCCCCCTCCCAGAGATGCCGCCCCCCTTGGTGTTTGCCATCAGGGTTGGGTTTTCGTCGCTTGGCAACGACGTTGTAAAACAAGCCCATTCACTTCGTGAGCTCGAAAAACCAGGTTACCGGTCAAAGGTCTAACGACTACGGCATGCACGACTATGAGTACCCCGCCCCCCCCCCCCCNGGTCGAGTAGATCATGTTGTGCGGGGTCGAGAACCCTCACTCCGCGCAAGGGGGATGATCGCACCACGTTGTGTTAAAATGGCCAAGCACCCTCGAGGCAGTTACACAGTGCTTGCAACTGTCTCTGGAAGTGAAAGCACCAGAAATTTAGTTAAGTTACACGCAGCTGTCATCCGTACGCAAGGAAGTAAACTCAAGATGCCGAACACCCTCAGCAGGATGCAGCGCACCCTTCATGCGACTCGCCGAATATCTCACGGCGCTTCGCGCTTGGTGATGTGAGAGCCTGGCCTGGTGAGAACCCGGCGTGCCCCGTCCCGGCTTTGTAGGGATGCGAGGTCAATNCCCCCCCCCCCCCCCCCCCCCCCCTCCCAGAGATGCTACCCGTGTTTCGATCGATTACACCCTTTGCCGTTGCCCGCCCCTCCTTTCTGCACCGACGACTTCCGCCCCTCATGCTCCCTACGGCTGCTTCTTTGCCAACGGGGGGGGGGAATTCGCGGACCCAAATCCCCAGTCGACGGACGGGGTGCCTGTACCCCCTCTGCTAGTCACGGGGCCCCCGTGCACAGGAAAGACTTCGGTGGTGAGGGCGGTGCTGGACCACCGGGGGTGCTCCTACGCGTACGTCAACTGCGCGGAGGTCGTCCAGAGGAGGGACTTGCTGGAGGCGCTCGTGGAGCAAGTGGCCGGCGGATCGAGGTACAGTATATGGTAGTCAGCAGCGGCTGTGTACGGTTCGAGAGAGATGATTTCGGAGACACTTACGGATTTTAGTGAGGTTGAAGTGGCTTGTCCCTGCCACGAGATTTTCGTTTGTATCAAAATATTGTTCAGCCGAAGGGAAATGTTGCAGGGACTCGTGGAGCAAGTGGCCGGCGAGTTGAGGTACAGTATATACTGCAGTAGCGGCTACGCGGTTCGAGAGAGAGATATCGACGAGACGATTTATGAGTGGGGTTGAAAGTGGCTTGTCCCTATCACGAGAAATACAATAACATCAGACATTGTAACATTGTTTGAGAAGCACTATACATCAGAGAAAGCGCGGTTGTCCAGCGGAAGTGATCTGTTGTAGGGGCTCGTGGGGCGAGTGGACGGACGGATCGAGGCATGCAATACAAATGCATACTTCCCTGTATGAAGATCATTCCTGTCTTTGTCTGTCGCCGGTGCTTTCCACCCCCCTTCTTGTTTTTTGTCGAGCTCGTGGCGCATGTGGACGGACGGATCGAGGCACATACCTTACTTCTTGATGAGCTCGTTTGGTCTTGCGGTCGATACAATTACGTCCCACTTTTTCTTTTTCTTTTTTCACAAGATGCTTGCTCTTGGGTGTTGCACAAAGCCCACTGACACACGAAACCGCACAACGGGAGCACACAAAACCAAAAACGAAACCCGTCATCGCGTCGACCCAAGCTTGCTCTCGTAACGTCTTTTCGGGCTTGTATGGAGCGTGAGGTATACGTTCCGCATTTTTTCGTCCAACGGCGATGATCCCTGCGATTCAACAGAATATACCGTTCTCCGTGGTGTGTTTTGGGTACGGGCGGAGAGGCGGGTTCGGGTTTTGCTTTGTGATTGTAGTGGCTCTTGCAGATGTCTCCGTTGTTTGCTGCTGTGATGGTTGTTGTTGTGGCTGTTGCTGTTGCTGTTGCTGTTGCTGTTGTTGTCGTTGTTCTTGCTTGTACTGTTTTTAGCTACATGTATTAAACGTTATTGTTGCCCACGTTATTTTTTCCCCCTCGTTTGCTCTCGCGTCCCGCCTGTGTGTGCCCCCCACCTTTGCCATCGAAAGGGATGACATCCTTGCGGCCAACAGAGTCGACCGGACCTTCGGGGACGCATCTACGGAGAACGGCCCGTCGTCGTCATCATCATCGTCATCAACAGCAACAGCTACCGCAGCACCGGCAACCGAGGAGGAAGCGAGACTGGTAAGTCGAAGTTGCTCACGAGACCTCTCAGCTTGTGGGTAACCCTTGTGAAACGTAGCTTGGGCCGGCGAACACCCGGCGGCAAATCGCAGCTCCGTCCCGGCATCGTTAGGGTCCCGAGGTGTAACGGCTACGACATGCGTTTGCGTGGGTAACCCCCTCCCCCCCTCCGGTGGACTTGGGGACCGTTTGCGGGTTGCAGGTACTCCATGCCGCCGTCCATGATCTCCTCGTTTTCGAGAATCAACGATACATATGCATATAATACGATGAACGCTAGATTTTTTCTTTGTTCTTTTTTGATTCTTTGGGGTTCCCTTGGCCCTTCGAGTGAAAAGCACGCACGTCAGCTGTTTGGAAACGCCGCAACACCGCAGTAGCTAGAAGTCAGCTGTGGGCTGGTCCTGCTTGCCTGCTTGAACTCTGTTGCATTATTACCCCCTTGGTGACACTGCCGTGCTCTCATGAGCCCACCCCAGAGGGGTGCCTTGTTGTTGTTGTTGTTGCTGTTGTTGTGTTCACATTAACAACCGTCCCGGTCCTCTTCTACCACGTATTTTTGGTCTGTTGAGATCCCGATCAGCCTGCACTTTCCGCCGAGGAGAAGGGACAGAGAGTTGAGACCTCAGACAGGCCACCCAAGCTACGTACGTCTTGCGGCGGTAGGTCTGCGGCAGCGGAAACAGCAGTGTTGGCTCTTGCGGGCAGAATCAGACCGGGACGTGAAGACGGTAGTTACCAGGCGTCGGTCAGACTGCTAACAACAACAACAACAACAACAACAACAACAACAACAACAACAGCAACAATACATTGTGTTGTTGAGTTTTATTCTTGCTGCTGGCGCACGCCTTGTTCTTGTCCTTGTCATTGTTGCTGTTGCGTGTCAGGGGACTGCGGAGACGAGCACGGAGCAGGATCTGGTCGTTGACGCAGAAGCGAGGGGGCAACAAGGCGCTGACCACGGCTCGCGGCAGCAGCAGCAGCAGCAGCAGCAGCAGCAGCAGCAACAGCGGAAGGGCCGAGGCCGTGGGGTGAGTGGGCTAGGCAGGCTTGCAGATTGAGAACCGAGAATTGTGCCATTTTTTTGTTTTACATGTTTCTGTTTCGTATAAAAGCATACACGAATTGATTGTTACCCACAGGTAATGAGAGTTGGAGATGAATCACCAATGCGTCCATGGCGTTGGCGTACACACTACACTACAATACCTTTTTTTGTGCCACGAAGGGGAACGGGTTCCGCCATTATTTGCACAAAGGAGTCTCGTTCCGGAGAGTATGGGCTCATGAGCATTCATTAGTGTCGTCAAAGGGGTGATGTCGCAAGATGGTAACCCGACAGCACAAGCGGGCGGCTGAGTCGGAGCCTTCAGCTATGTAGCCCACGCAGCTGACGTTGTCGTTGTTGACTCGTACACCCCAGAGAATCCCAACGAATCTGTACACGGTCTGGTTTGAATTATGACTTTTTCCGGTGAAATGCGGGAAACAATCCACACCCATGCACCAAAGGTCTTGTCGTAAATGACTCCGCGCCTTTTGACACGCGCCAACGAAACGAAACCGCAGCAAGCGCACGTGTTCTGTCCTATCCTAGCGTATCTCACGTTCGTCATCTTTTCATCGCCTGGCATGACCGAGATTTGATTTCCCCGGACTCGGTTCTGACTGGGCGCGCCGGGGGGGGAGGGGGATGCGCGCGGTCTAGACATCTCAAGGTCACGGCCTGCGTGGTGGTGACATCAATGTGTTCTCGCCCCCACTTCTCCCCCATCCCGCCTCCGGCAGCCGGCGTTGCTGCCGCCCGGCGCGAGACAGCGATCTGGCTTCCCCAGCTTCGCCTCTGAGCGGGTGCCGGGGGATACACCTACAGCATGCAGTATACCCCGCCCACCGCCCCCCCCGGTGTTTGCCATCAGGGTTGGGTGTTCGTCGCTTGGCAACGACGTTGTAAAACAAGCCGCCCCCCCCCGGTGTTTGCCATCGGGGTTGGGTTTTCGTCGCTTGGCAACGACGTTGTGAAACAAGCCCCCCCTCGGTGTTTGCCATCGGGATTGGGTTTTCCTCGCTTGACAACGACGTCGTAAAACAAGCCAATCCACTTCGTGAACTCGGCAACCAGGTTACCGTTTTTTTTACCTCTGTTTTTTTTTGGCGGTAACCATAATGGTGGTCGAGTAGATCATGTTGTGCGGGGTGGGGAGCCCTCACTCCGCGCAAGGGGGATGATCGCACCACGTTGTGTTAAAAATTGGTCAAGCACCCTCGAGGCAGTTACACAGTGCTTACAACTGTCTCTGGAAGTGTAAGCACCAGAAAATAAATTAANNAAGCACAAGATGCCGAAAACCCTTAGCAGGATGCAGCGCACCCTTCATGCGACTCGCCGAATATCTCACGGCGCTTCGCGCTTGGTGATGTGAGAGTCTGGTCCGGTGAGAAACCGGCGTGCTCCGTCCCGGCTTTGTAGGGATGCGAGGTCAATGGTCTAACGA